ATGTAAAGAGAAAGGATTGTTTCATTTAATTTCTTCCTTGGACAGCCATGCCTAAATTTTGCCACTCTTTGTTTAGCACACAATCTTGTGTTTTTCAATTAGTGAATTTCTTGTGTTAATATTGCATAATCTTATGGTGTTAATGCTTATGTTGTTGAGTAGCTTGACATAATCTTGTGGTTGCTCAATTTATGTGTTTGACCATGGCTGTTGAGAGAGGATTTTGAGTGAATCACTTGGCTAATGTCTTCATCAGTTGGTTAATTGAACTAGGGACTTTAATCTAAGACCTAGGTAGGTTACCTAATTAGGTTAATTGGCTTTGGATAATTTTCGTAAGTCATGACAGCTTTAGTCAAGAGGAAAGGGAAGCTAAACTTAGCCTAATCATGAGAAGATAATGAATCCAAATTCAACTAATCTCTAGGGTTCCATTATTGCAAAAAGGGAAGTTCATTTCACTCACTTTCACTAGCATTTTAATTACTTGCACATTATGTAATTAGTTTAGATAATTAGCTAGGTAACTAAATTCCTACAAACTTTGGTTGATTTATTTCACTAGATAACTTTTAATTAGACTTAAAACCATTCCTTGGGAGATGACCTAAGGTTGGCCCTGTATTGCATTAGGGTTAGCTTTAGTGTAATTTTGATGATAAGCGACTAATTTCCTATCAATCACCATGCGCCGTGGTGTGCTTGTCCATTTTTCTACTGTCATTTTGGCAGCAAAATGATGAACTTCTGACATACACTGTCTTCGCATATGACATCTAATCGGAGTGATTCAAGCACCCACATGAAGCTACTAATGAGATAGGTTTGGACATGATCTAATGGTCTGATTAAAATTTAGACACCCGGGTGCAAAAAATTGCTTTTTCTTAAAATTTTTACGCACCCAAGTCCCTTACTCTCATTAAACCATAATAGGCCTTGAATCAAGACCAGAAGGGTCCAATGCACCTGATTGACCTCAACTCATATATCAAAATTTGACCCTTCTACGGCCAATTTCCACAATTCACTAACTTAACATATTATGCTATTTCTTGGCATAACATAGCCTACTTGGATGTTTCTCAATTCATACATATAAAATTATATTCATGATACAATCTTAGCACCCAAATTACTCATTTCATCATAATTTTTTCTTTGGCTTAAGATTCACCAACATAAACAACCATTACACACATATACTCCAAGTCATAGCCCTTTTTTATTTCATTTCATCATATATACAATTAATTGAGCTAGACTTCACAAAAACTCAATTCAATACATACATGCAACCCTATGGCAACTCATATATACTTGTATACACAATCTTTGTTCAGTTCATTACACAACCTCAAAGTACACGGCTTCTCAACTCAAGCCAATCCAAACTCTTTTCCCTTAGCTTGATCACTTCCCAATCTTGTAAACATGTGACCACAGGGGTGAGATAAAAATTTAAGTAACAGAATAACTTACTCCTATTGACTATCACATGCAACAATATGAAAGTAAACATAATATATCATCAAAACCTTATAAAGTAGTATTTACATCACACATCTGATAGAACACATTTGTTACCCACTTTTATTTGTCAATTAGGACCATTTTATTAATTATTTATCACCTTCAAGTGCACACATTGCATTAGATTTGGAACTTTGCCTAAGTTTCTAAGATCAGTGCACTAGGGGCATTTTGGTCCAAAAAATGAACTTTTGAGAAAATGTACAAGAAAAATTGACAAAGTGCATTTTATGTCCAGTTGATGAATGGTGAAATTATATTTTTAAAATTCATTTTAGTTTGGGAGTAATTAAATAAAAAAGTCAACACTTTCTTAAGTGTCTTAGTTTGTCCTAGTTTTTGGTTTGCCTTTGTGTGAAAATTTTTATATAATTTTGTGCAGCCTGAAACTTGGTTAATTTAATAAATTTCTCCTTCTAAATATGAATTTAATTCTGGACATGAATTAGATTTTATTATATCATATGGTATTTAATTGAATTATGTGATTTATGTGACATAGGTGGCATGTGACTTGTGCATCAATTGGGCAATTGAGGTCAACACTCCTTGAGGTCAATGGCTGATGGTTTGCACGTGAATTATGATTATTTTGAGAGGTTAAATCAGCTAAAATGATGTGGATGACACATGGGAAATTAGGCACACATTGGAATCATCTACAAACCAATAGGAAGTTGCCACCTTGCAAGTGTGACAAGGCTCCCATTTACATTTTAATTTCTTTTTCCTTATTTTAATTAAGCTTCAGCTGATGGGAGACACCAAGGAGCACGCCATTTTAAGCCTCAAATGGGATCCAACACATATCTCATTCATCTTCCACATTTCTCTCTCTTGTTCATAGTGTTCTTCATTTTCTCTCTTTTGTTCTTCATTTTCCAGCATCCTAACCTCCATTTTCAGCCACCAAACCTCCACAAAACTCATACCATTCTTCTCCTCTCTTCATTTTCGTTCCATCCCTTCCATTTTCACAAGGATTGAAGCTCATTTTCATCATTCAAGAGCTATGGAGTTTGGCCTTCACAAGCAATCACTAGGGTTCTTGAAGATGAAGATTGGCTAAGTTTCTTTGTGGAATCCTAGAGAGATGAAGATGGAGGATGAGTCTTGAGCTTCAAATTGGCTAAGTTCTTTTGTTTCCTATCCTCTTCTCTTTTTACTAGATGGTTAGATTCCTTAATCTAGGGTTTAATCATCTTAGCTTATAAATTCTAATTTGAATTTGATGTTGATGTAAAGAGAGAGGATTGTTTCATTTAATTTCTTCCTTGGACAGCCATGACTGAATTTTGCCACTCTTTGTTTGGCACATAATCTTGTGTTTTCAATTAGTGAATTTCTTGTGTTAATATTGCATAATCTTGTGGTGTTAATGCTTGTGTTGTTGAGTAGCTTGACATAATCTTGTGGTTGCTCAATTTATGTGTTTGACCATGGCTGTTGAGAGAGGATTTTGAGTGAATCACTTGGCTAATGTCTTCACCAATTGGTTAATTAAACTAGGGACTTTAATCTAAGACCTAGGGAGGTTAGCTAATTAGGTTAATTGGCTTAGGATAATTTTCTTAAGTCATGACAGCTTTAGTCAAGAGGAAAGGGAAGCTAAACTTAGCCTAATCATGAGAAGATAATGAGTCCAAAATCAACTAATCTCTAGGGTTCCATTATTGTAAAAAGGGAAGTTCATTTCACTCACTTTCACTAGCATTTTAATTACTTGCATATTAGGTAATTAGTTTAGATAATTAGCTAGATAACTAAATTCCTACAAACTTTGGTTGATTTATTTCACTAGATAACTTTCAATTAGACTTAAAACCATTCCTTGGGAGATGACCTAGGGTTGGCCCTATATTGCATTAGGGTTAGCTTTAGTATAATTTTGAGGATAAGCGACTAATTTCCTATCAAAATTTTGGCGCCGTTGCCGGGGAATGGTTTAAGTTTAATTCTAAGGTTGTTTAGTACTTAATTTACATTTTTAGTGTTCCTGAAAATTTTTTTGAAAAATTATAAAAATTTGTTTTTTGTTTAGTGTCTTTTGTGTGTTTTGAGTGTTTTTGTTCTATTTTAGAAAAAAAAGAGAAAAAAAAATTAGTGCAATTTTCCTTGGTTTGGTGTAGAGTTGATGATACTCTGTTTCTAGTGTCTCTGCTTGAAATTGAAAAATTAACTGGGAACGAATCTGAGGAAATTTAAACTTAAAATTTATTTCATTGAAAGATCTATATCTTAGCTTCATTTTAAAATTTATTTGGTCAATTTTGGACGTGGGATGTGTCCTATGAAAATTTTACAATTTAACAAGGTCCAGAGAGCCTTTACAGAGGACTCCTAAAACTCTGTTTCAACTTTGAGTTTTCATATCTCCCTCTCTATGCGTTCAAATTGATTGATTCCAGTTTCATTTTTCTTATCACTGTCTTATCTTTGTTTCTTGTGTTTAGGATTTTCTTCAATTTTTCCATTTTCCTATTTGAAAGTTTGTTAGAATCTCTGAAGGTCTTCTGGACGAAATCCTGTTTCTCCAGACCTGTGGACCAACTTGTGAAAACTTCTGGGAACGATTGGGAGGGATTTGTAATCTGAAATTTTTATATAATTTTTCTGAATATCTCTTGTGTATCTCATAAAAGTTTCAGGTGAATTTCTCATATGGATTGGCTGCTAAAAAATCCACAAGTTCACTATCTCCAGAAAGCCTACTGTGCAAATTCCAGAATTGTCAAAGCTTCTTGATTGAGCATTTCTAACTCTCTTTCTACTTGTTTGGTGTTGTTTTTGATTTTTTTTTTCCATTTTTATTGTTGTTAATTCTAATAGAAAAAAGAAAAAAAATTCTCTTGATTTTTGTTTGCTTGCATTTCCACTCATACACTTGCAAAGGACATATCATTTGAGCTTCCTTGGTCTTTCCATCATTTTGAGCTTGAATTTGAATCATTGCTTGTGGATATAAATTTCATTGTATTTTATGGCTTGGTTTCATGATCATGATTCATTCCATCATTCATTTGACATCCATTCCCATCCATTTCCAGCGCTTAACATTGACCATACATCCCATTTCCATAATCAATTTCAACAATATAACTTTGATTATCCACCCCCATATCATGATCATTTCCATCCAAGTCACAATTATGAATTTTCCAATCCCATGAGTTTTGAATCCAATCTAAGCACTCATGTTGAGCGTACACCATCCATTGACATTGAGCATCTAGAAAAATTATATGCACAAAGGGGTAAATTTTATTGTGTGCATTGTGAGGCTATCTCCCACTTCTATTATGATTGTCCTATTTAAAAGGATATTGTGAACCACATAGAGTAGCCCAAGCCTCACAAGAGAGAAATTACATGTTTCAAGTTGAAGACACACAAAAAGTTGCTCATGAAGCTATTGAGAATATAAATACACCTCAAGCCACTCAATCTCCTAAAAGAGAAGGAGTCAATCCAACCCTTACTTCAAGAGGTAATTTCTCCTATTCCTATTGAGGTTGATTCTTCTTCACATTTGACTTTATCTAATGATGAGCATAATGATTTAAATGATGATGACGTAGATGAAGAAATTATAGTTGAATCACCTTGGATGTTTGAGCATGAATCATATTGTGAAAAACTATACCCTTGGGAGAAAAACACTTTGAGTTCACATGATAATTCTCTTGATTTAAATTCAAATATCATTGAAAGTGTTGACTCTTCACTTAGCTTGAATAAAGAAAATGAAATGGATGTTGATGGTGGCGATGATGTATCTTGTATGCTTGAAATTCCAATTCCTTCTTGTGATATTGTTAATAGTGCACATGCACTTGTTTCTTCTAACCATGATGTGCTTGAGAAAGGTTGTTTACCTTCTTTTGTAGGTGAACAAGGCAATGTAGCCAAACCATCTCTTGATTTCAAAGAGGAACTTGCTCAACTTGAAAAGGCTATGGCTCCTACTAAGGATTTGAACAAGGAATTGAAAATAACTCAAGATGACAAGGAGGTTGAAAATCAAGGAATTGATTTTACAAAGCCAAATAGTAATGAGAATAATATTGATTTAATGCTTGATGATTTTGATGATGAGTTGGCTTTGTTTCATAGTACTTGTTCTAATTTCCTATTCACTTGTGATTGTTCACATGATTCTCCATGCCCTATTTGTTTAGAAATTAATTCATTTGTGCTTGAAAATAGTAGCAATCATTTACTTGATAAAATAATTGATGATGTATGTTTGAGTGAAATTAATCATGAGTGCACTTCTTTAGAACCCAATATGCTTGAGGAAGGGTTCTTTGTTGATTTTATAGGTCTAAATGATGATATGGCCAAGAACCCCCATGTACTTAGAGGATTTATCATTGCAATGGAAGAGACCTTGGCTAACCATGAAGATGATCAACCACATAAAGTTATGAAAGATTCTACACCATACATCTTGGAGCCATTACAAATTGATCTTGAGCCTCCACCTAAGATGCTTGGAATGAAGATGATAATGAGTAGCTTCATGTTACTCCTCAAAGATGAAAATTTCAACTTCAAGAGCTTGTGGAGATTTAAACTAGGTTGTATCTTCTTCACCCTTTCTTTTTACTTTACTTTGCTTTATGCTTTGATTTGTTGATTGAGTAAATTGCAAGTGTGGGGGAGATGAACCTAGTAAGAAAGTTAGAGTTTATTTGTTTTATTTGACTTCTTTGTTTTGTGTTTTAGTTTGAAAAAAAAAAATTTCTGGACCACACTTTTGTTATGCATTCATTATTGATCTCACCTTATTTTATCACTAGTCTATACATACATTGAGGACAATGCATGATTTAAGTGTGGGGGAGAGAAATAAACATTTTGTTTGTTTGTTTGTTTTGTTTGTTTTGTTTGTTTGGTTTTGCAAAAAAAAAATTTATTAAAAAAAATAAAAAAAATTGCTTTGTTTTGTTTTGTTTGAGGTTACTTAATTACCTAGCTCTTGAATGGATATTTTGATTCTTGAGATGTGGTAATTTTTAGGATTGAATAGGTGTGAAGTGAACATTCTTTTACCTTGAATTAATGGATTAGAGTGGCATATTACCCTTTCATGGAAGAGGCTAAACACTCATGTGTGATTAATTCCTTAGTGATGTTACCCTCTAGAATTTGTTTCACTTCTTAATTAAGACCATATATCTTGCACTTGTTTGATAGGAGATGAGAGATGGCATTCATAAAAAATAGCCAAGAGCCAAATAGCCAACCTATTATTATTTATTATCCTTTGTTAGCCACTTTGAGCCTTTGGTTTGATTCTTAAAAAAAAAATATTCACCCTATTTTTCCCCAAGGAATGCATGTTACACTTTTATATGTCTTTTTAATATTTATTGCATGTCCTAGATCAAATGAGTGGATGCCTATTATCATTTCTCTATCCATTACTTCCATTGTTTTCAAAGAGTTAGGGGCAACCAAAAAAAAAACAACAAAGATAGATTTGAAAAAAAAAATATAGTCAAAAAGAAAAGAAATAAAGTTGCTAGAAAAAGAAAAAAAAAAGAAGAAGAAAAAAAAAAAAGAAAGAAAGAAAAAAAAAAAATAAAAATAAAAAGTTGCCTAGCTCATCCATTCCATTTGTTTTATTATTTCTTATCATTTCTTTCCATCCTCATTGTGTTAAGGTGTTCACTCAATTGAGTTAGGTTATGCTTTGCATATTAAGGGGATATATCTTGATTTAGCATTATTTTGATGCTAACCCTATTTTTTTTATATACATGCATTTCTTAGACATCCTTTCATTACCTATATCACAACCTAATAAAGTCCATTTGATTCTTGATTGCAAGTGCTATTTAGTGATGGAGATGTAGAAGGGTTACAAATTCATAGTAGGGTTTATCCTAAGAAATTTTGAGTGAAATTTAATACCTTATACACTTTGAGTGATGAGAGCAAACACTTAACCTAGAGAGGCTTACTCTTTGACATTGATTCTTGGTAACGGTTTGTTTGTGATGTGCATAATTCTTTCGTAATTATTGCCACATTGATTGATAATTTGTAGAAGTTCATGAGCTAGTATTTTAGTGACTTGAAACAATGTTTTTCTCTTATTTCTTTGTCTTATAGTTTCTTTTGGGACCTTTTTCACTTGATTTTGCCCGGAGTGCAAAAGCTAAGTGTGGGGGAATTGATAGAACACATTTGTTACCCACTTTTATTTGTCAATTAGGACCATTTTATTAATTATTTATCACCTTCAAGTGCACACATTGCATTAGATTTGGAACTTTGCCTAAGTTTCTAAGATCAGTGCACTAGGGGCATTTTGGTCCAAAAAATGAACTTTTGAGAAAATGTACAAGAAAAATTGACAAAGTGCATTTTATGTCCAGTTGATGAATGGTGAAATTATATTTTTAAAATTCATTTTAGTTTGGGAGTAATTAAATAAAAAAGTCAACACTTTCTTAAGTGTCTTAGTTTGTCCTAGTTTTTGGTTTGCCTTTGTGTGAAAATTTTTATATAATTTTGTGCAGCCTGAAACTTGGTTAATTTAATAAATTCCCCCTTCTAAATATGAATTTAATTCTGGACATGAATTAGATTTTATTATATCATATGGTATTTAATTGAATTATGTGATTTATGTGACATAGGTGGCATGTGACTTGTGCATCAATTGGGCAATTGAGGTCAACACTCCTTGAGGTCAATGGCTGATGGTTTGCACGTGAATTATGATTATTTTGAGAGGTTAAATCAGCTAAAATGATGTGGATGACACATGGGAAATTAGGCACACATTGGAATCATCTACAAACCAATAGGAAGTTGCCACCTTGCAAGTGTGACAAGGCTCCCATTTACATTTTAATTTCTTTTTCCTTATTTTAATTAAGCTTCAGCTGATGGGAGACACCAAGGAGCACGCCATTTTAAGCCTCAAATGGGATCCAACACATATCTCATTCATCTTCCACATTCTCTCTCTCTTGTTCATAGTGTTCTTCATTTTCTCTCTTTTGTTCTTCATTTTCCAGCACCCTAACCTCCATTTTCAGCCACCAAACCTCCACAAAACTCATACCATTCTTCTCCTCTCTTCATTTTCGTTCCATCCCTTCCATTTTCACAAGGATTGAAGCTCATTTTCATCATTCAAGAGCTATGGAGTTTGGCCTTCACAAGCAATCACTAGGGTTCTTGAAGATGAAGATTGGCTAAGTTTCTTTGTGGAATCCTAGAGAGATGAAGATGGAGGATGAGTCTTGAGCTTCAAATTGGCTAAGTTCTTTTGTTTCCTATCCTCTTCTCTTTTTACTAGATGGTTAGATTCCTTAATCTAGGGTTTAATCATCTTAGCTTATAAATTCTAATTTGAATTTGATGTTGATGTAAAGAGAGAGGATTGTTCATTTAATTTCTTCCTTGGACAGCCATGACTGAATTTTGCCACTCTTTGTTTGGCACATAATCTTGTGTTTTCAATTAGTGAATTTCTTGTGTTAATATTGCATAATCTTGTGGTGTTAATGCTTGTGTTGTTGAGTAGCTTGACATAATCTTGTGGTTGCTCAATTTATGTGTTTGACCATGGCTGTTGAGAGAGGATTTTGAGTGAATCACTTGGCTAATGTCTTCACCAATTGGTTAATTAAACTAGGGACTTTAATCTAAGACCTAGGGAGGTTAGCTAATTAGGTTAATTGGCTTAGGATAATTTTCTTAAGTCATGACAGCTTTAGTCAAGAGGAAAGGGAAGCTAAACTTAGCCTAATCATGAGAAGATAATGAGTCCAAAATCAACTAATCTCTAGGGTTCCATTATTGTAAAAAGGGAAGTTCATTTCACTCACTTTCACTAGCATTTTAATTACTTGCATATTAGGTAATTAGTTTAGATAATTAGCTAGATAACTAAATTCCTACAAACTTTGGTTGATTTATTTCACTAGATAACTTTCAATTAGACTTAAAACCATTCCTTGGGAGATGACCTAGGGTTGGCCCTATATTGCATTAGGGTTAGCTTTAGTATAATTTTGAGGATAAGCGACTAATTTCCTATCAACATCTCATTTCATTTTTAAATTTTCATCAATCCTAAAGGATTTTATGTTATCTCAAGATATTTTATCATATCGAATAATATACTAGCATGATTTCTACCAACCAAACCTCCAAATCACCTTAACACAAAACCATAGGCTCATATCAGACCAATATATAATCTCATTAGTCTTGAGCTCACCTGTAGTGGTAGAATTACCCAATCAAAGATGTTCTAACACATATATAGACTATGGTCTCTCCTAATACACATAATAGGGTATAATTGACTCTAACACTGTATCCCAAAGATACTAAGGAGTCTCTCATCTCCAATACCGTACCTCAATAGGCACTGAGGAGATCTTCTCCAACACCATGCCTTTCAAGGCACTAAGGTTAATTGTTTCCACATCGCACCCTAACAGGGTATTAAGGAAACCTTGCTATATGGTCTTTATCATCTCCTACACACTCGGGTGAGCTCCCACCCCTATGATCATGCTTTCTCGAATCATTTAAGGTTCCCATTTATCATTATCACACTTTCTTGCACATTATATATATATATATATACACTTTACATTACAAAATACCATTTCAATGCTCATTTCAACCAAAAGTCATTTTACATGCCAATCACTCAATGCTATAAAAACATGCTCAATTTAAAATCATTTCATACACTATATAGCATACTAACATACATTTACGTTGAACAGTCAAACAAAGAAAGTTATTCAGTTACCTCAACTTTTCTGTTATTAGAAAGGTTACCCATGAATTTTCATTGTTACACAAGCTTATCTCAAGTTTCCTTTCTCTACTCACGTATCCAATATGCCAATTTGAACACATTTGGCACATTTTAGTCATTTGGTCCATTTTGACCAAAAACTCATTTTTACTACTTAGGGCTATAATCTTCCATAAACTCTTCTCTATCTATCCATTCTAAGTCCATTGATAGAACACATTTGTTACCCACTTTTATTTATCAATTAGGACCTTTTTATTAATGATTTATCACCTTCAAGTGCACACATTACATTAGATTTAGAATTTTGCCTAAGTTTCTAGGTTTAGTGCATTAAGGGTATTTTGGTCTAAAAAATGAACTTTTGAGAAAATGTACAAGAAAAATTGACAAAATTTATTTTATGTCCAGTTGATGAGTGATGAAATTATATTTTTAAAATTCATTTTAGTTTCGGAGTAACTAAATAAAAAGTCAACACTTTCTTAAGTGTCTTAGTTTAACCTAATTTTCGATTCGACTGTGTGTGAAAATTTTTATATAATTTTGTATAGCATAAAACTTGGTTATTTTAAGTAATTCTCCCTTCTAATTATGAATTTAATTCTAGACATTAATTATATTTTATTATATCACATGCTATTTAATTGAATTATGTGATTTATGTGACATAGGTAGCATAGACTTGTGCATTAATTAGGCAATTAAGGTCAACACTCCTTGAGGTTAAAGCTGATGGTTTGCATGTGAATTAGGCTTTATTTAGGGATTAAATTAGCTTAAAAATGTGGATGACACATGAAAAATTACACACACATTGGAATCATATACCAACCAATAGGGGGTTATGATAGGAAATTAGTCGCTTATCCTCAAAATTACACTAAAGCTAGCCCTAATGCAATATAGGGCCAACCCTAGGTCATCTCCCAAGGAATGGTTTTAAGTCTAATTGAAAGTTATCTAGTGAAATAAATTAACTAAAGTTTGTAGGAATTTAGTTACCTAGCTAATTACCTAATGTGCAAGTAATTAAAATGCTAGTGAAAGTGAGTGAAATGAACTTCCCTTTTCACAATAATGGAACCCTAGAGATTAGTTGATTTTGGACTCATTATCTTCCCATGATTAGGCTAAGTTTAGCTTCCCTTTCCTCTTGACTTAAAGCTGTCATGACTTAAGAAAATTATCCTAAGCCAATTAACCTAATTAGCTAACCTCCCTAGGTCTTAGATTAAAGTTCCTAGTTCAATTAACCAATTGGTGAAGACATTAGCCAAGTGATTCACTCAAAATCCTCTCTCAACAGCCATAGTCAAACATATAAATTGATCAACCATAAGATTATGTCAAGCTACTCAACAACATAAGCATTAACACTACAAGATTATGCAATATTAACATAATAAATTCACTAATTGAAAAACACAAGATTATGTGCCAAACAAAGAGTGGCAAAATTCAGTCATGGCTATCCAAGGAAGAAATTAAATGAAACAATCCTCTCTCTTTACATCAACATCAAATTCAAATTAAAATTCATAACCTAAGATGATTAAACCCTAGATTAAGAAATCTAACCATCTAGTAAAAAGAAAAGAGGATAGGAAACAAAAGAACTTAGCCAATTTGAAGCTCAAGACTCATCCTCCATCTTTATCTCTCTAGGATTCCACAAAGAAAATTAACCAATCTTCATCTTCAAGAACCCTAGTGATTGCTTGTGAAGGCCAAACTCCATAGCTCTTAAATGATGGAAATGAGCTTCAATCCTTGTGAAAATGGAAGGGATAGAACGAAAATGAAGAGAGGAGAAGAATGGTATGAGTTTTGTGGAGGTTTGGTGGCAAATGGAGGTTAGGGTGCTGGAAAATGAAGAACAAAAGAGAGAAAATGAAGAACACTGAATAAGAGAGAGAGAATGTGGAAGATGAATGAGATATGTGTTGGATCCCATTTGGGGCTTAAAATGGCGTGCTCCTTAGTGTCTCCCATCAGCTAAAACTTAATTAAAATAAGGAAAAAGAAATTAAAATGTAAATGGGAGCCTTGTCACACTTGCAAGGTGGCAACTTCCTATTAGTTTGTAGATGATTCCAATGTGTGCCTAATTTCCCATGTGTCATCCACATCATTTTAGCTGATTTAATCCCTCAAAATAATCATAATTCACGTGCAAACCATCAGCCATTGACCTCAAGGAGTGTTGACCTCAATTGCCCAATTGATGCACAAGTCACATGCCACCTATGTCACATAAATCACATAATTCAATTAAATAGCATATGATATAATAAAATCTAGGGAGAATGACAATTAGGGACCTGCTAAGAATATTAATCCCAATTACGGACTGTGAAATTTTGAAATCCAAGTTAAGGACCATGGTTCTTAATTGTGATAAAAAAATGAAATTTGTGAGGTGGGATTCACTAACGCAACTTGGGAATTCACTAACCCAACTTGAGAAAATTACTAATGTACATTGTGAAAACATGAAACCCCACTTGGAAATGGAATGTTTAACAAAAAGCGTCACTTGGGAATTCACTAACTAGACTTGAAAAAATCTCTAACGTATATTGTGAAAAAATGAAACCCCACTTGAGAATCATTAATAAAAAGTGACTTATCCAAATTGGTGTTTTTTATTAAACAATCAATTCCCAAGTGAAGTTTCATGTTTTCACAATATACGTTAGAAATTTTTTCAAGTCTAGTTAGTGAATTCCCAAGTGGCGCTTTTTTAAACATTTCATTTCCAAGTAGGGTTTCATGTTTTCACAATATACGTTACAAATTTTCTCAAGTTGGGTTAGTGAATTCCCAAGTGGCAATAATGAATCCCACCTCACAAATTTCATTTTTTTTATCACAATTAAGGACCATGGTCCTTAACTCGATTTCAAAATTTCACGGTCCGTAATTGGGATTAATGTTCTTAGCAGGTTCTTAATTATCATTCTCCCTAAAATCTAATTCATGGCCAGAATTAAATTCATAATTAAAAGGGAGAATTTATTAAATTAACCAAGTTTCAGGCTGTACAAAATTATATAAAAATTTCCACACAAAGGCAAACCAAAAACTAGGACAAACTAAGACATTTAAGAAAGTGTTGACTTTTTTATTTAATTACTCCCAAACTAAAATGAATTTTAAAAATATAATTTTACCATTCATCAACTGGACATAAAATTCACTTTGTCAATTTTTATTGTACATTTTCTCAAAAGTTCATTTTTTTGGACCAAAATGCCCCTAGTGCACTGAACCTAGAAACTTAGGCAAAGTTCTAAATCTAATGCAATGTGTGCACTTGAAGGTGATAAATCATTAATAAAATGGTCCTAATTGACAAATAAAAGTGGGTAATAAATGTGTTCTATCAGGTTGCCTCCTTGCAAGTGTGACAAGGCTCCCATTTTCATTTTAATTTCTTTTCCATTTTTTTAATTAAGCTTCAGCTGATGGGAAACAAGGAGGAGCACGCCATTTACCTCCTAAAA